GAAGAAGAAGATGAATGAGAAGAATAGGAAGAAGAAAAGAAGAGGAAGAAGAGGAGGGGGAAGAAGAAGAAGAGGGAGAAGAAGAAGATGAATGAGAAGAATAGGAAGAAGAAAAGAAGAGGAAGAAGAGGAAAGGGGAAGAAGAAGAAAAAGGGAGAAGAAGAAGATGAATGAGAAGAATAGGAAGAAGAAAAGAAGAGGAAGAAGAAGGTGAAAATGAATAAAAAAAGAAGGAGGAGGAGAAGAGGAGGAAGAGGAGGAAGGGGAAAAAGAAGAAGGAGAAGAAGAGGAGGAAGAGGAGGAAGGGGAAGAGGAAGAGGAAGAAGAACGTGAAGAAGAAAACAGAAGTAGTAGGGGGAGGAAGTGGAAGAATACGAAGAAAGGAAAGAAGAAGAAGGCGAGTAGTAGTAGTAGTAGTAGTAGTAATAGTATTAGTAGTAGTAGTAGTAGTAGAAAAAGAAGAAGAAGAATAGCTCTACAAATGGATGATCGCCAACGTCCTGAATGAATAACACACATAGAAAGAGAAAGTAGCAAGGAAGCATGTCATACAATAAAAAAGATTTTATGTAGAAGTAAAGTAAATGAACTGCAGAAAAAAAATCCACAGTTGATGAAATATCGTAAAATAAGAGAAAAAAAATCACTGGTAAAAGAACATCCAGGCCAAAGTGATATATAATGACGCAAAATTGAATTATAATATCTGAAGGCTACTTAGTAAAATAATAATCATGGATTGCGCATGGATTGCACATAGTTCCGACAAGTGACAAGTTAAACTACTAATGAGCGTGATAAATGATAAATCGTTAAGCTAAATTCGAACTACAATCGAGTTCGTTATGTTCGCTTTAGTTTATATATTGTTGTGAAAGTACGAATCAATATCATCTCCTCCAAAACATGGATTAAATAACAAGACTGAGTGGACCTTCTTGTCTTGAAAAGTTTAAAATCAGCCTGAATAGAGATGATCCCTGTCCTATTTTGCCCCAAACGTACCAATACTGATATGGCTGCAAATGATATAGTACCTCTATGGCTCTTTTTCGTTATGGAAATCGTAAGGTGATGTCCATGATATATCGAACTGGCTTATTTTAATCCACAGGTAAAATTAGATCAAAGGAAAATAATGTTTGTTAAAAACACTTAAAACTCCCTCCGCAGTCGTATTTGAATCTTTCTGATTATTCGTTACTAGCTGTAGAGCCCGGTGTTGCCCAGGGATGTAATAGTAAGAGATTATATCAAGTATCGAACATCATAAAAACTGAAAAATAAAATTGACAAAGATTATTGTTTAAAGTTGACGGACACGCATGTCTTAATTAGTTTTTTTTTACGAATTAGGTCAAACCCAACCTCAAACAAAAACATTGTTTTCAATCGTTATGAGTCTACCGATTGAATAGAATTTTATTATAAACAATTGTCTTGTAAATGGAATTTATAAAGCATTCTGAATGTAAAAATAATGAAAAAAGTGTACAAGACAATAAGAAACACTACCTGCCAAAAAAAAGTGAAGTTTTGTTGAAACCGGTTGAAAAATGTAGGAAATCCGATCCCATATATAAAAGAACACACACACAGACAAACAACCTGGGTTTTATAATAAGTATAACTCGATATGAGTTGTCCCCCTTTCATTCTGGCGACTTAATCATGTTTTCAAAATGATTTCGTGCAAAAACAATTGTGTTTTTCCAATTTTTGGCACTGTCAGAACCACCACAAGGTAATTTTACGTAGTCCTGTGAAGTTTTGTTGAAATCGGTTGAAAAATGTCGGAAATCCTATCCAATATATAAACGAACAGACAGACACACACACACACACACGCACGCACACACACACAACCTGGGTTTTATAATAAGTATGATTTTATAAGAAGAAATAATATATGTCAGTGTCTGTTCTACAATGTGTCAGTTATTTGGAAACAATATCCAAATTTATTTGGTTTGTTTTGGTTTAGTTTGTTTTACGGCATATCAACCTCAGTGGGTTATTTAATGCCGATAAGATTTTTATTGCCGGTATTATTTGTTCAGAACTTTATTACTGTTAATATTTTTTCCAAAAACGTATTGATGGTATTAAAACATATTTTGACATTTTCACGGTGCTTTGAAAAAATAATTTGGTTACAACCACTTGCACATAACTGGGACCCCAACGGATGCTACAACCCCGGGTCAGAGTGGACCTGGGAACACCAGCAACATGCTCCTCAAATCCTCAAATCTGATCAGAGGCCTTGACGTTAGACGTAATTTATCGTCTTACCCACGACGCGAGTGCAGTTTATCATCTTATAGAGGAGGGCAAATTTTATTAGGATCATGAGAGAAATGTATATGATTCGACGCCGTGAAAAATGGTACGTAAAACTAAAGAATGGCGCTTATCGGACAACTAGCAGCATGACCCGGCGTTGCCCGTGCTTGATTAAAAAGTCCTACGACTCATACAGCAATCGCTATCACTTGACTTAAGATATTTTTGCCCTTTCTTGCCTTTAAAGGAGTGCCTTTTGCCGTGCTGATGTTTTTACATGCCTTACTTCTTGCATATCTCACACTGCGATTTTTTTTTAAGCTCTATACTAAACATTAAATCTGTCACGAAAAAGAACTAAACAAAATGAACACAAAACGATCAGCTTTAAAAAGAAGTTTCGTAACTGGAAAAACCGAATGAAAAAAGAATGTTAACAACAAATACTTTTTCACACCCAACCCAGTTCTGCGGAATCAGAATCAACGTTGATTTTAAGCAAGCGATTGAGCCAATTGGAGTAAAGTGCCATGCAGATTTAAATTTTTCCCACTTGTGACGAATGCAGCTATCGATTATTTTTGCATGCTAGCATGCTAGTTAACATTCGTGTCAGTCAGCTGTTGGCTTTCACGCTGGCCAATAGAATCTTCCTGCGTATTCGTGTCAGTCAGCTATAGGCTCTCACTCTGGCCATTAAACAAAATGGCCGGAAGCTACATGAAAACTGCCGTAGAAGCATGAAAAAAATCGATTATTTCCACTATCGATGGAGTTGAGAAATGTAAAGTCGGTCTTGGCCTTCCCGCTAACTTTGAGCATGTGCATGTAAATTTCGGTGGAAATCCGTCGAAAATTGCGGTCGTGCATTCGTCACACACACACACACACACACACACACACACACACACACACACACACACACACACACACACACACACATCCTGCCTTTTATAGATAGAGATTATGGAAATAATTTAAGAGTAACGGCGGTCTTGCGTGATTGCCTCTGGGCAAGAGCTGCTGAAGAGGACAAAAAGCAGGGAAACGATTTTGAATTTTGTCAATTTTAGAAATCGAGGATTTAGAAGACCAGATATGATTGCAATATTCCATTGTTTGTTAATCGGACTCTTGTAGTGATAAATTATAACACGAAGATTTTAATGAATGCAAAAGAAAAAAATGTACGAGATTTCATCGTTTTGATTCGAGTAGACATTATTTCCAGGCTATGCTGGCTCCTATCCAGTTCTGATTTGTATCAGAAACTGAATGATAAATTGACTGCTCCATATCGAGAAAAGTTTAAACAGTTTTTTTAAAACTAAATCTTCAATTTTCTCTCTTTGCTGTATGGCACGTTTAGTATGATAAAGACTGTCGACGTTAAAATAAAGAAAACAAACGGAAATTTTCTAAGGCTCAACAGATACAAGGCTCGCGAGCCACTCAAGTTACTGTTAGAAATTGAAGCCGATATGCCAGGTCAGGACCATTTCAGTACAATATGCACGACAAATTTTACAAGAATGCTTTTTTCAAAAATTGTCTTTACGCGTTGACTGATTATTTTTTTACGGTTTATCTACCTTTTGCAGTTTATTTAATGCCAGAAAATAGTTTTAGAGTGTAAGAATTTCATGGAAATAATAATGATATAATACTAGTCTTATGAATTAACCCATAACTAGGGAGAAAAGAATCGGAGTAACACCTTTCCCATGAATATTTTGCGCGTAAATGAATATAACGGAGTTGACTGGAAATAAAACTCAGCCCACCGATTAAAAATTCCGAGCCGTTACCCATTACACCACCCTCACATCCAACCTTACCTAGTATTTCCAAGCGGTTACCGGATCTAGGTACTGACCAGGCTCGACGTTGCTTAACTTAGGTGAGCGTACGAGAACGGGAGATTCAGCGTGATATAGCCGTAAGCCGTGTGTGTATGTGTGTGCGTATGCGTATTTGTGTGTGAGCGTATGTATGTTTGTGTGTGTGGGTGCGTGTACGTGTGTATGTGTGTGTGTGTTTGTCATATTTTAATTGTATTATTCAGGTTTAAAGTATCGTTGAACAAAAATTCCTCTAGGTATACGGAAGCACAAAATTGCAATAATTATTATTTCGAAACGCTGCAGGCGAAATTAATTTCTACAAAATATTTTGAATACATCGAGAAAAAGTTTATTAATTTTTGCCTCCCATAGAACAATGGATACCCGTCAAGAAATTTAAGCAGGAAGTCGAGAGAAAAGAATTGATGTAATTAGGTTTTTATACCCGGAGGATGTTCTTCCTTTTTTTTTAAACAATATATATGATAGAACATACATGATGGCGATATAGACATAGAACTGAAGTAATGGGCAAGAAATCTGTTCTTCTCGATTCATATGCATCCTCCTCTATGCGAATAACGAGGACAAACCGTGGAATCTAGAGTTGGTAGATGAGCTGAGATGATGTTTGTATCTCATGATATCACAAATGTTTTAATAAAGGGTGGGGTCTGGAATAGCCTTGCTTTCGTGAGCGGTAAGCGTTCTGTGATTAATTCAGCCCTGTCAGAAAAGATGGGGTAAATTGATTTCTGCCACTTAACAAGGATTTAGCGAGGATGATTTGTAAAAGTGAAAATTACAAAAATAAATATGGAAATAACGCATTTATAAAACCCACCCCATCTTAAAAGCATAAGGCCTTTT